AAGTGCGATGACGAAACTCACAAAGCAAGCTCGAGAAGTAAAGAAGAGATCTGGATCAACTCAACATAGCACGCATGCCGTGGTCCTTTGAGAGAGACGACATGCCACCACAACCGATAAAGAACCGCCGACAATATGTAGCGGACCACTTTCACGTGAACGTTGAAGTTGAAGGGTTAATCTGACTCCTCAGTTGAAGCTTGTTGGAGTTTGAGATTCTACTTCGACAAGATTTTCCCTGTCCTGTCGCCGCGTGTGATCCGGTGTACCCTCAGCTTTTATCTTCTCTGAAGAAGAGGCAGGGTCGCCTGTCGCAGCGCATTTCCCACTTGTGGGAGACGTATCGACCTTGCGGTGAGTGAGACGCTTGATAGGTAGATGTTACAGCTGCCTCATGGAGACGAGCGGGGCTACAGACAGCAGACAGCGAGGTGATAGGTTATTGCTCCGATGCCCACATTGCTTTAGCTATCTGAAAAGTTCTTAAATGAATAAGACGACGTGATATACGTTAACAGTGCGGGAATGTAGCTTTATTCCAAGCGGCACTTTTATCAGCTTCTGGTGCCCAAGTTACATACCTCATGAAGGGTAAAATGTAACCATTTCAGTTACAGCGCAGCCGGTACTTGTGGCTCATTCTCATTGTGATAAAAAATGCTCAAAGGGGACCGTTTCTCAATCAATCAATTTCCTTCATGATTTTATGCCAGCGATCGAGACGCTTAACGCCAGTGAGAATACCACGAAAATTTAAATTGTTTCAGCGGGAATTCTAAGCCCAGAGAGCGCTTTTACTTGGCAAATGAGAACTTGGGATTGTGATCAATAACTGTTGATACTTTAGGCTGTTCCTTATCCACCCCAAATATTGTTATCACGGCGTCGTTGCGATTGGGGGTCCATGAGTTATTTGATTCAGGACACGAAAGCGGACTCTTGTTAGAAGCGCTCAAACAACCAATTAAAGTGCAGAGAGTGGAGTAAGATCCAGGCGGTTGCTAGTAACAGCGTGAACTTTGCTGAAAGATTCTAGTCTGATTTACTATGAGCGCAGCAGTCTCGACAGCGTTTACCTCAATCACTTTGTGATTACGTTTTCAAGCCTTCTAAACCTGCTCGTAGCGCTGGTCATGCCAACGCTTGTAATATTCCGCTCCAACCCAGAACAATATAAGTGCAAGCAGTCACTTCGCGAGTGGTACTTCAACCAACAATTTACCACCCTTCAGAATATCTAGCTGTGCTTTAACAGAACTGGTCACATTTAACCCTCCATGAGAGCAGTACCTTGGGCACCAGAAGCTGACGAAAGTGCCGCTTAGACCAAAACTACATTCGCGCACTGTTGACGTATATCACGTCGTCTAACTCATTTAAAAATTTTACAGATAGCTAAAGCAATGTAAACATCGAGGCAATAACCTATCACATTCGCTGTCTGCAGTCTGTAGCCCCGCTAGTTTGCATGAGACAGCTGTAACATCTACCGATTAAGCGTCATACTCACCGCATGGTCGGAACGTCTTCCGCTAGTGGGAAATGCGCTGCGACAGGTGACTTTGCCTCTTCTTCAAGAGAGTTAAAAGTCGGGGATACACCAGATCACATGCGGCGACAGGACAAGAAAAAACTTGTCGAAGTAGAACCTCAAGCTCCTACGAGTTATCAAATGAGATTAACCCTTCCACTTCACCTTGTGCTGTTATAGCTCTGGTGGTTCCGCTGGTCTACCAAACGTTCATGAGATAGACGCGATTCTTGATCATCGAGATGCGCCGGCGGTAATCGACACTACCGCGGCTTGCTAACGGTACCTCTTTTGGTTGTGGTGTCATGTCGTCTCTCTCATAGGACCACAGCATTCGTGCTAGGTTGAGGTGATCCAGATCTCTTCTTTACTTCTCGAGCTTGCTTTGTGAGTTTCGTCATCGCACTT